TGAAAGCGTCTCCTCTAGTGGGTTATCTGTGCCCGCCGACTCATCTCGCCAGAACTTCTCTACTAGCTCGGTCAGCCCATCAGTTAGCACTGGGTCAGTAGCTGGTGTAGTAGCTGTGATTGCACGAGTGGTGTCGACTCCTGTACCAATGCACACCCACCCGAGAGGAGTTCGTCGAGCAATGGGCGCTCTTGCTGTTTCTGCTCGCCGTTCTTTTAGAGTAGCATGAAGCTCGATGGCATTCAGGCCGATAAGCGCGTCGATCTGACTGCCCTTGATGGATGGGAAGTCAATATCACTGAGATGCGGCCAGCTGCTATTGTGCTGATTCCAGTTCACTGCCGGTAATGGCACGGTGACGGTGGGCAGAACCCAAGCTTCAAGCTTGTTCATGGTCTTGTCGCCCAGAGCCGCCACTTGGATCTGTACATGCTCACGTCTTGCTGCGGTCTGCTTGCCGCCTACTCCGGAAGTGACGAGCTGCCGCTTGGGTCCACGCACATTGAGGGCTGTTGCCACGGACTGCTGGACATAACTCGTGGACGATGCTGGGTCCAGGAGTGCATTACCTTGGAGGCTCACACCATTGTGTCGGAATACAACAGGCACAACCATGAATGACTCGCCACTGTCAATCTCTGGCTGATGACTTGCGCAATGTGTTGTAGCAATCTTGGCAGGACCGCCACTGCTGGCCGAAGCTGCGTTGGCCTTGATTGCGGCATTTGATGGGTCTGCAGCGGAATCCGAGCGTCGGATGTTGTAGTGTAGCATGTCATGATGCGTGCGGCTGCACTTTGAACAGGGTTGCCTGGTACAAGTCTTTGCGCGATGATTGAGACCGAAGCATAGGGCGCAGACATCTGGCTTGGACTTGATGACTTTCCATCGGTCCCTGACCTCCATCTTAATGAAATCGGGGCAGCGGTGGAGCTGATGCGCCTTGCCACACGAGGGGCAGCTTCTGTCGGCACCTGCATCCTTGCTAGTTGCCACAAATGTTCGTTCAGACTTTGTAGCACTCTGCTTCGACCATGATCTTGCTGGTGCTGGTGCTGAGGCAGTGACTTCTGTCGACCGGAGTCGTTCATTGGCACGGCGTAGTGTGTTGACGCGTCTGAAGAGCCACTGTGTTAGCTGGTAAATATCACAGTCAGCATCGTCATACTTCTCCATGTACCTAAGCAACAGCGATTTCGGCAACTTCTGCGTAACCGATAGGTACAACTCACGGCCCGGTGTTACTGCACACATCTCCATATTCATGAGCATCGTCCGGAGTCTGAGGACAAACTTGGCAAAGTTGTCGTCTGACTCTTTTAGCTTCGGCCACTGCAAAACCTCCTTCTCTTGGCGCTCAACAGTGCGATTGTCGCCGCCATACCATGCATCTAGCTCCCTAAGGATGGTGTGGTAGGCTCCTGGACCGTCAAGCACGCCATCAACAAGGTCGCTGGCCGTGCCATGCATGAGACACTCACGCAGTTGTGCAAGTTTGTACGCTTCAGTCGTTAGTGGATCTTCGTCAACAACGCGGCGAAAGTTCTGCTTCCACCGGTCGTAGTCACTAGTCTTGCCAGAGAACTTTGGTAGCTCCAGTGGCTTCACGTGAAAGCTGAAACTAGCAGGGTGTAGTGTCTGCAGTTGAGGTGGATAGGGCATGAAGGACTCTGCTTGCGGGTTTAGCACCTGCTTGGAGTGTTCTTGCACTGCCACTGGTGTTGGTGGCTGCTGTTTGGCCACTGCTGTATGCTTCTGTGGTGTATGCCATGGTGGTGTTGCATTCAGCATTGATACTGCCTTCTTGTTACTGCCAGGCAGTCTTGATTGTACTGCTGCACTGCTTATTGCTGGCTGTACAGGCACTGCATTACTAGCTGCCTGTATGGACACTGTAGTACGTCCTACAGGCGCACCACTGGCCATTGACTTCTTGGCTGGCACTACTGACAGCACTGTACTGGTCACAGACTTTTGAGCGGGCGCGCGCATGAATGCTTGCGCCACTGGCCCCAGGGCAGGCACGCCAAACGCATTGACACTACATGTACTTGACTGAGCTGGGCTGTCTTCCGCCTCACCTAATACAGCCTCAGGTTGTGTGGGCGCATTCACAGTACGAAACGTACCTTGCAAACTCCTTGGCTTGCCGTGGTCGCGTTGTCCGTTCACTCCACCGACATCACTCATCGTTCTGAAGTGCTCACGCGGTGGTAATACGAATTTTCGACCAGGTCCGACCAACTTGTCGTGCTCAGCAAGACTCTTGGCAGTCAATATTGCCCTGCCACTGGATGCAGCGTTTCCAGTCTCTGATTTGCGAGACGACACTTTGCTCCCTGACCCGGATCGTAGTGCAACTGCAGATTCAGCCTCGGCTCTTCGAACCTCCAGTTCCTTCTGCACCAAACTTGTCTCACGAGCCAACTTGCGTGTCTCGGCTTCCTCCTCCAGCTCAGCGATTTGCCTTGCAGCCTCAAGTTCTACACGAAGCATCTCTGCACGAAGTGACGCCTGCGACGCAGCAGTTCCTGAAACTTTCGAGGGCGCATGGCCTGCAGAGCTCACGCTGTCCGGAACGTCACTCCAGTTATCAAACCTGTATCTGCTCGGCGGTCTCCCTTTGGTAAACCGCGAGCTCCGTCTGCACTCAGCGCCTGGGACTTGCTCGTCGTCGCGCAGGACTTCTTGGATCTGGCTCTGAGATCCGGCTCGAATAGGACCACTATGGCTACTCATGCTGCCCTCTGTTGCATGCGTTCAACCAGATACAACAGCAACTCGTAACAGTATGAGACCAAGAACTTTCTCCTCTGAGATAAAACTGCAAGAACCAAAACTGTAAACTGCTTCCTACAGTTCAAAACTGACAACTAAAAAACTTCAAAGGCATGGAAGTATACATTCTAGAATGACGAAAGCGAGAGCGCAATCGCAGCCTGCGAGTATCCACAGGACTGTGCACAAATGCAAAGACGAGTGAATATATTACGACTAGATAGCATGGAGACAGCACATGCATCAAACGATACGCTACTTGAATCTCAGACAATGCAAAGGTTGAGACTGGCCTGCGGTAACAATAGTCAATACATCAGGCGCCAGCAGCATGCACTAGAATAAAAGGAATGAAACCTGAGTACAATGAAAGGTCATGCAAGATTCACCACAAGCTGGGAATATTCCAGAACAGTACTGTATGTATGTGATCGTTTCTCAGGGAGGGGAAGGGGTTGAAAAGAAATGACTAATTTTCGTTCCTATATAAATATCCGTATTCACGGATGGCCCTTCAGGGCTGGTTCGCATAAGCAAAATCAGCGCCGCAAGACATCGGCGGAGAGCCAGCTTCCGATCCGTTGCGCATACGTTCGAGTACCAAATCCACTCCAAACGTCCTGTTTGATGATCAGCTGGCTTAGTTTTTCTCCACCTCTATCCTAATTACATCAGTCCCCAATTTCCTTTATTACTGCTTTCTTTCTGCATTCGCTACGTTTTCATTGGGCAGATCTGCCCGTTTGGTTTGCGAATTAAAATAAACACAACAACAACAACACTACACATAGTACAGAATGTTCCCTAATTCTATGACAGGTTTGCCAATTGCAGCTTGAATTCTTTGCTTCTTCAGTAGTTCAAGGTCTTTGGTGATGGCCACTCGGTACTACCTTTTACTGGAGATCATGAAACTACTTCTACACATTTCATTGCAGTCTAGTAAGCAATGGTGTCGAAATTATGGATGCAAACGTTAATGACATCACAAGAACTATTCATAAGTTGCACAACAGTGCAGCAGATCATCCGAGAAGGACTGGTTGGTATGCGGACTTATTTGCCATCTTGAAGCGACTACAAGAATGGCTTACGGACCTCCTCTCTAGCTTCAATATAGGGAAATTCAGGACAAGTATTGGTTTGAAATGTTTACAAATTCTGGCTCCCGGCACTGGCGATGACCGGCGCGAACGGTTCACAAACCACTTTTGGTCAAAAATTCTACGGGATCGTGCCGGTGCAGATCGCAAGAGTTGGGCACTGCCCAACTTGCCAACGGTCCCTTTGCGATTATTAGCCCGTGATATTGTTACGACTGCAATGGTTCACAAAATCGCAATGTGCCGGGAGAGTTTGAGGAGGCCCACCGCTGTTGACTCACGGCGCGTCCGGGCAATATGTGAACCAACACTGAACTGAATACAAGTAGCAAGCTACCAAAGTGCATTTTCATTCGTTAAAAGTTTTTGCTTGGCTGGTGAAACCTAGACTGTTCCACGAATGGTAAAGTTCAAATCATCTCATTAACATTGGCGGACCAAGTGCGAAAGGATTTGTTCACCGCTTTCCCTTGCGAATAACCCACACAAGTTAATGGTAAAGGTTGGTTCACATAAGCAAAATCGGCGCCGCAAGACATCGCAGGACATCGGCGGTAAGGGTTGGTTCACATATCACTTACCGCTTACCGCTGCAACAAGTAGATTTTATCATACAGCCAGAAAGTGCAACATCTAGGCACAAAACTAGCAGAGTACTAAAACAATCGATGAACTGATACCTAGCTCCAACACATCTCCAAAGCACTAACCAACAACCTTCCGACTGTGTTTGAGCCACATGTACATGTTGGTACCAGGTTGCAGAATGTCTCAGCACTCTGTCAGTTTGGTGCCTCGCGGTTGCACTTTCTGACTCTATAATAGAGTCAAGTTACATTGTTGGACAGATATTCTTAACTCTTATCCAGTATGTCCTTTCTTTCCTACGTTTATTATTTCCTCAAAATCCGAGTTTAGATTAACAAACCATTTCCTATTCCGTAATGTTTACCTAGCACACAACATAATTTCAGTGTGCATCTTGATTGGTGACTTTCATGCTTTGAGACGGTTCAGTGACTTTGACATCCACTTTATTGGGAGACAGAACAAGGTTGAAATAGGTAGCTTTCCGGAGATTAGACATAGCCACATCTAGACTGACAAGGCATTACTCACCGTACACTAGCAGTGTGGCTGCAGAACCCTGGACCATACCACCAAGAGTGAAGTTTACAGCATCTCGATTCTCTGCCATGCAATGGTACTGACCACGATCACTGTACTCAAGATTGCTTATCAACAAAGTTGCGTTGTCTGTTGAAAGCTGTATATCTCCGGATGCATACAGCAGCTGTGCATTACAGGTAGGGAAAAAGACAATAATCTCATTCAATGTCCATGGGTTCTGGTGCAATTAGCTGTTTTAATATTCCATGGTGCAAAGCTGGAGAAAGTCGCCTCCTGATATAACGAATACCACTGTGCGTAGAATTGGTTCTTTATCGCCACTTGTTTCCATAGCAGACATGAAATTACATCGTACAAACATTATTTTGTGGCTTGCATGTGCCACTTGTATGGGTTTGCGAGTGTTCAGTGTTATGGGTCCCTGAAGATACGGCTCCTTATAACCGAAAACAGGTCACTGCAGAGGGTCAATTTCGTAAGGATTCAAACAGCCGTATCTTCAGGGACGCAAAAAAATGAACACTCACAAACCCATACAAGTGGCACATGCAAGCTGCAAAATAATGTTTGTATGAGGTAATTTCATGTCTGCTATGAAAACAAGTGGCGATAAAGAACCAATTCTACGCACTGTGGTGTTCGTTATGGGGAATAGCTCACAATATCACGAACTTTGCTTCATGTGAATTTTGTTTGTTGTGTGGAGTCATCTGTACAGTGAAAATCCTGTCGACCTCCCCGCTTGTATTGTTGAAGATTTGCAATGAACATATTCCACTCTTACCTTTCCATCCTTGTACCATGTTATTCGAGCTGCTGGGATCGCGTACATGTTGCAGTCAAATCGAGCTGTTGCTGTTTCTGATGAGCTAACATCTAGAGGTGGTCTCACTTCACTAGGTGGAACTGTAATCACAAAAGATGAAAATAGAATGATTAACTGTATCTTCTCTAATTATAGCTATACTTGGAGAGTTGTGACGTAGAAATAATATGGTACAGAGACCACCATGTGAAGTTCATACACCGTCCGGAGAGGGCTCAATTTGCGGAAGGCAAATACCGGGATACACAGACGGCAGAACGAGCAATTGCGGTTTCGTAACTCCGAGTTTCACAAACTTAATCGATCATCAGGTACTGACCCTGCTCTAAAAGTACTGCTATATACATGGACATGTACTATGAAGACCATTGATTGATGTTGGTCTCAGATTTATGATTGTAGTACTATTGCTGTCGGCAAAGCCATTTGCAGACGTAGCATAATTTTAAATGGATATTTCTAAGGCGATGATCCACAATTCACGCTCTTTACGAGCATCTTGAACGTTTTCACTATTATACTCTCAAGCCATATCATCACGTGAAATACAGGCAAAACACATGCAAAATTAAATGCACAAAGACAATGTACAGCGAAGAAGTGATAAAAATAAGGTTATTTTATCTCTTCCTTGAGCTCTTTCTATCACCTCTTTACTGTACTTAATCCTTCGTCCATTTTCATTTGGTTTTGCCTATATTTAAACTGACGATAAGGTTGAAAGCAAACTAAAGAAAACTTTCCAAGATTTTGAAAAGCCTAAGGTGTGCCTTTCGTCACAGTACTATAGCATTCTTGTATCCCAGGAATCTGTTAACGAATTTGAAATGGTGACAGTTTTAATGGCCTGTTGTACATAAGGTTGGCTTTGGGGGGTGAATGCTGCTGTCTGATGTTCGCTCCGATGCGTGAAACTTTAAACTACAGCTAACACAGCCTTTCGCCTCTGTTGTGTGTGTAAGGTTGGCTTGTCCACTTACCGAATATCTTGAGATCGGCTGAGGAAGTTGCATCTGGAGCTCTAAAATTTGCTGCAAGGCATGTGTAGGGTCCTTTGTTGTTGACGTAAGTAACATTGTGGAGAAGTAGAACAGATCTTTTCCCTTGGCTTCCTCTCTGAGTGATATTGTCGTTGGTGAAGGTTTCTTCGGTGATGGTCAATGCTGCTGATGTAGAGAGAATGGCTCCATTGTACAGCCATGTCAGGGTTGGAGCTGGTGCACCACTCGCATCGCAAGTGACTGTTGCTGAAGAATACTGGTTTACCCGTAGCTGTACGGGTAAATTCACGATTTGGGGAGGCTCTGATGGAACTAGCAAAAGACATGAAACAATGAACGACTGTAAGTGTAGAACTTTTTTGTAGTTTCTTTCTAAAATGCTAAAATGGCTCCATTCCAGCATCACTGTATTGGAAGATTAGCGGAGGCCATTGCCAAATTTCGCTCCACTTAATTAACCAGGTAACATCATCATTATCGCTACCGCCACTTAACTTCTTCAGTGACATAGGGATCATTGCCATACTGCCATAATTACTGCCAGGGGTGTACCATCATATGAATAAACCAGGCCCAGATGAATAAAACCGTCCGATTCTGATCTAGATTTCACATGGTTATGCTCACCATTCCACATTGTCGCTGTTCATGTTGTTTTACTTTAATTCGCAGAATCGAAGGTGCAGCTAACCCAAATGCATGGGAGAAAATGTGTACGGTACGTATATATAAACTGCATAGAAGCAGGGTTATAAGAGAATTCGAGGAGATGATGTTCAGAAAATAGGTTTGGGAGATATTTGTCTTCTGTCATTAACTTACGGAAATCTGTCTGAAATGGAGCAAAGTGTTGATGCAACTGTTTATAAAATTCACGGTTCGCGTGAGACTCGGCTGAAAGCCGCGTTTTCCGCATCCGTCGGAACGCCACCACCCTTCATGGATCAAGGCGCAGATGCAGCTCCTAAAGCGGTGGGACGTGAGTAGATCAGCTCACGAGCAAGTGGTCGAAGACCGAAATCCCATTCACTGCATTCATGTTTTCCTCGTGCCAGACCACGAGTTCCCAATTAACTGTGGGTCGCAGGACGGATGGAAAATAATCCTTCCGCTTCCAAGTAGGACTTGAACCTGGTACCCTCTGTTTCTCAATCATGGTCTTAGACCATCCCACTATTCCTGCCTGCAACTGTTAGAGTTAACATAACTTGTAATAGATATCATTAGTAGCTTGGAAATTACACACCCTCTCAACTGAGAAGAGCCTTGTTTTATAGCACAAGGTGATAGAGAGAACACCGACGAGAATGTGAGAAGAACACCAATGAGAATGTGAGTAGAACACCAATGAGAATGTGAGAAGAACCGAAGTGTCAAGTAGGAAGGAAGTGTGAATACTGTCTGCACAAGAGCGGGGTGCGAAATGCATGCAATAAATTGATAGGTAAAGGTGAGAACTACCACACTACTCCCCTCCCATTCAATTTAGTTCTGAAGATACTGCCTCAATGGCAAGATTGGTGATCCGGATTCATCCACCAAGTAGGTTCCAGGCTCCCAGGTCGGCTCATCGTAGCCCTTCCATTTTACCAAGTACTGCTGCTTTCCGGGGTGAATTCGATGAGAAGCCACTTCTTCGACAATGAAACGCTCATTGTCATCAAGGTCAATTATGGGTGGTGGAGCTGGTGACTGAGGATTGAGCTCATGAGTAACGAAGAATTTCAGTGCATCTGTGTTGAACAACGGATGGACACGACATGTTCTTGGGAGGTCCAACCGCACAGTTGAGCCAGATGCCTTCTCGACTGCAAATGGACCGAACCAGCGTGGTCTCAGTTTGGCGCAAGGCTGATCTCGTGATACTGACGTGGCTATAATAATATTATAGTCCCTGTGGACCATCTCTTCATCCCCCACCTTGAATCTTGAGTTCCGTCTTGACCGGTTGGCGTAGAACTCTTGGCTTCGGATTGCATCCTGGATGCTGTCCTTTGCTACTTGCAGTGCCGACTTCTGGCGATTGACCCAGGATTGCGCCTCATGCCAAGTTGAAACCTCCGCCTGGAGAAGGGCGTCTGCAGCAGACAACGGATGTTCGCCGTAGTTTAAATAGAATGGATTATCACCTGTAAATCCTTGAACCATGTCGTTGTAAGCAAACTCGCATATCGGCAGAAGTTCCTCCCAATTGGTCTGCCGATGATTAGCTGCTGAACGTAAGATTTGACCTATTGTCCGATGCACTCGTTCCGTTGCACCATCAGTCTGTGGGTGATTGGCAGTTGAAAAGTCGAAGCGAATTCCCAGCTGCTTGAAGACATCACGGTAAAGCTCGGCAGTGAAACGAGGATCACGGTCGCTCACAATGGACTTACTGAGACCGTGTAGGGGATAGACATTGCGCATGTACAGATCAGCCACACCCTGTGCGTCTATAGAAATCTTAATGGCAACGAAATGGGCTGGCTTAGTCAACCGGTCGATGAAAGTCAGAATTGCATCATTACCCTGCGGTGTAGTTGAAAGGCCGGTAAAAAGATCCATGCCAATGCATTCCCATGGCACTTGCGGTACGGGCAACGGCTGGAGTCGATTCTCCTTTGGTTTGTCTCCCTTTGTACGCTGGTATGTTCGACAGGCCTTCACATACCTTGCGACGAATCTTCCCATTTTGGGTCAATAGTACCTCCGAGCATACGTTCGGTCACGCCCTGGGTGTCCCGCTGACACGCTGTCATGACATAGGTTGAGCAACTTTCTCCGCAGTGGTCCAGCCGGAATGCAAACCCTCCACTCAGGGTCATGCTTCAAGTAGAGCTGCTTGCTGGAGGCATCCCAGTGGTAACGCTGCTGCAGCTGGTCGTCCTGATCAGTCAATCCGGTGTAATAGTGCAGCAGAACTTATCGGCTGCATAGCCGCTTGCTAACAGATTTTGGAACTGTTGTTCTTGCCTTACGGTCAGCTCGACGCTGGCGATAGACCGGGACAATGCACCTGCAATGTTCTCCTTGACGGGTTGGTGGACAATGCTGAAATTGAAGTCTGCCAGGAAGTCAATCCAGCTATCTTCCCGTTTAGACACATTGGTCTTGGTGCCTAGATATTTCACACCTTGGTTGTCTGTGATAACTTCAAACCGTTCAAATAGATACAGCTTCCATGCTCTCAACACGTGGACGACAGCTAGCGTTTCTCTTTCCATTGCTGTGTAGTTTACTTCTTCTCCGCGTAGTCGTCTGCTGCTGTAGGCGACTGGAAGCCAATCAACATCTTCCTGTTGAAGTAAGACACCACCAATGGCTGTATCGCTAGCATCCGTCACCACACGGAACGGTTGTGCAACATCAGCCAAACGCAGAACTGGTGCAGATACGAGTGCTTGCTTCAGCTTGTCAAAAGCATTCTGCTGTGCTTAACACCATACAAAACGGGAATGCTTTCCAGTAAGTGTTTCCAAAGGCCGTGCAATTGATGCATATTGCTTAATGAATCGCTGGAAATAATTGGCGAAACCCAGGAATCAACGGATTTCAGAAACAGACTGTGGTGGCGACCACTCGTCAACAGCTTGCAGCTTCTCCGGATCAGGATTGGACGGAGAACATCGTTCATCAGGCCCATGAATGTTGCTGGTGCATTTGTCAAGCCGAACCCCATCACACGGAACTGGTTCTGGCTGAACGGGGTGTTGATTGCGGTCTTTGGTATATCTTGCTCTCTAACTCTGACTTGGTGATAACCCGACATTAGATCCAGCTTTGAGAAATACTTTGCTCCACGTATGGCATCAAATAGATCGTCAATATTTGGCAGCCAGGCTTGCATCTTCACGGTAATGTTGTTCAGAGGTCTCCAGCCGCACACCAGCCTCAGCGAACCGTCAGCCTTCTTAACAAGGACGGGTGCGCAATACGGTGATCTGCTGGGTTCGATGAAGCTGTGCTTGAGCAGTTTCTCGAGCTGTTTCGGCAGTTCTTAGAGTTCTGGCTGTAAGAGACGGTACGGAGGTCGGGAGGGTGGCTTGGCATCAGGATCCACATCAATTTTTGATTGGTTCTCCGACTCGGCGGCAGGTCCATTGGTGGTTCCTGCAGAAAACAGCTGGCGTGCTTGTTGAGAATCTGCTCGAGGTCGGCACGCTGCTCCTTGTCCACCGTTATTTTCATTTCCTTATTGTCACCTTCGCCGCCGTCCCTTTTAATTTTCACAATTACACATTCCGCTCCCTTCTTCAGTGCCCTCCGAGCCTGTTTGATACTTATGAATTCCGCGGGGTAGGCTTCATCCGTCTCCGCTTAGGGGGTTTGTTTAGGGGGGTTTGTCGGGTTTGTCAGACACGCACGTCACTGTCAGATCACGACCTCTCTCCCGATCGGACAGCGTGACACGGTTGTTGGCAAAGTCCACTTACGGGTTAGTACGAGACAGCCACGGCTTGACCAGTACTACGTCGTATCCTTCCAAGGGTATAACTGTCAGCTGCTCCCAGGATTCGTGGTCTCCGATTTCCAATCGAAGCTGTGGCGTCACAGTCTCACTGAGCAGCTGTCTTGGCCCATCAGCCATGGTCAGGGAGATTTTATTCTGGCTCTCAGACGTGATAATACAAGCTTCAGCTATCCACCGTTCCGAAGCGAAATTGTGCGTTGAGCACCAGAATCAATGAGGCACCTCGCTGAATGTCCTCCGATACGCGCTTCGGTAACGAGGAGATCACGTTCATGATCGGACCAGGCTTCAGCCTTCTCGACTTCGAGCACTCCAAGCTCCGCCAGCGGTCGTGCTCCTATGCTCGCTGGCGTCCGGCGTTTTGGGTGAACATGGTGAAGCCGTCCAACAAATTCCGTGCTATATGACCAACTTCCTTGCAACGGAAGCATCGATTTTCCCGTACCAAACGCATTCGCTTCGCAGGAGGTAAGTGAAACGGACACAGCGTCGGTTGCGTGCCTTCCTGCTGCGTAGATCCGTGCACTTCACGCAGTTCCTAGTCCTCAGGAGCGTTCAGGACCCGGGACGACTTTCCATGCAGACCACTGGGAAAATCACATACAGTGTATGCATGCCCCACTGCGAAGGGGCAAGGTCTCCGGGTGGTGCTGTTTCACCTCCTTTTGAACAAGCGGGTCAGCCAGGCCCTCCGTGAAAAGTAACGCCTTGGTCAGCACATCCAGTCCAGAGGCCGACAGACAAAGCGAGGTATACTCCGCAATGTAGTCTTCCAAGCTACCTGTTTACCGCGCTCGTGCTACCAATAGACGTGTCTTCTCTTCTTCATGTTTCTCTTCAAATGCGCCCTTGAGCTGCAGTTTCAACTGTTTCGTAGTCGTTGATCTACCGTCTTCCTCCCACAATGTCATCAGCCAACGGCGGGCGCTTCCATCCAGGAACGATGCCACATTTCCCAACTGGATCGGCAGGCTGCTGGCTTCTTAGCGCTTCTTCCGCCGCAAATAGCCACTCGTTGCATTCCGCCGGTTTGCCAGTGTACGGAGGAGGATCCCGATGGCGAAGCCTTCCTTCTGGAGTCCTCTCCTTGGGTTGCCAAGCAGCTCGGTGGAGACGACTTGCTATCTTCCAAGTGATCACACATCCCGAGATGAATGCCAACGCGAAGGCACAGAGCTCTAGAACAGAAACCATCCTCTTGCTACCAATGTAATAGATTGCATTAGTAGCTTGGAAACAACACACACTCTCAACTGAGAAGAGCCTTGTTTAATAGCACAAGTTGATAGAGAGAACACCAATGAAAATGTGAGAAGAACACCAATGAAAATGTGAGAAGAACACCAATGAGAATGTGAGAAGAGCCGAAGTGTCAAGTAGGAAGAAAGTGTGAATACTTTCTGCACAAGAGAGGGGTGCGAAATGCATGCAATAAATTGATAGGTAAAGGTGAGAACTATCACACAATTTGTCTCAGAAATACACTGAACTCAAACTTGTGACGGAGCGGATATTATAACGAATACAGTCAACTTTGCGTATAACGACACTCGGTGGGGCATCAGAAAAGTGTCCTTATTCAGGAAGTGTCCTTATACCAGAAGTTAAAAAGATAATAATATTACAAGAAAATAAAAACATTACAAAGGTAAAGCACTGTGTTTTTTGTTAAACTCTGACTTACAACGGCCACTAAAACCTGGGAATCTAGCACAATTGCAGTGCCTAACGGTGCAGGGGATAGGTCTCGCATCTACTCGCACAAGTGCCGATAACCCCCATTGCCTGCATCCATGTATCCCTGGTGCCTGGCCACGAATTCCGAGTTGACTGTGAATAGCTGCACGACTGGAAAACTCGCCCTCAGGTAGGGCTTGAACCAGGTATCTCTTCCATCTCAATCAGGATGCTTGTGGTTAGAGAAACCTAACTTCAAAAGAATAGGGTTTGATTTGATGAGGAGTTACGACGAACAAGATAATACAGTTTGTAGTACGACAACGAGGCACAAAACTGACAAAGATATCGAGACATTCGACGACCTAACACCTAAATCCTACACATCTACAAAGCGCAAACCAAAAACCTTCCAACTTGGAAGTTTCAGGTGGGGAAAGTTCCAATGAAGGGGAAGGGATGCGCCACGAAGATGTGCACGAGCTACGCGCCTCGAACGTTAAGGGATTATGATGACGAGACGAGTGAGACCATTGGACAAACTGGTCTAACTACAACTCGACGACGCACAGCAACAGACCATCCAACTGAGAAGGCTCAAAGGTATGTGAATATACATAAAGTGAGAAAGCCAAGCGAAGACGAATTGTCCATCATCGTTACATCAACATGGAGTTTAGTAGGATATTGGCTTTCCGTTTTTGCCAGTTAATCTTCGCTTGGCTTCCCATTTTTATCTATTTGTTGATACCTTTGCGCCTCCCAAGTTGCATGGGTGGTCTGGTGCCTCGAGTTTTGAGTTGGACAGGTTTGTCCATGTGTTTTACTAGTCTCGTCATCATCATCCCGTAACGTTCGACCTTTTTCGTTGCCGAGGGACATATGTGGGGCACATTTTCGTGGCACATTCCCCTCATTGGAACTTTCCGCACCTCAGCCTTCCAAATTGGAAGGTTGTTGGTTTGCGCTTCGTCTTGTGCTTCGTCTCACTCTCTGACTGTATTATTATCTCGGTACCTTGGTGGACTATTAGTCATAACAACTTCGAAGTAACTTATAGGTCCTTTTCTATTTACATATTCCTTTCGGATCAACATCCGAGTTTTTAAGATATTTTATGTGTAATGGACAATGACGGGAGTTCATCGGGAATTCACATGACAGGCATATCTGTTCCTAGGGTTGAGCATTCTTGACAGGCATATCAGCCAAATAAGGCATATCCACGGCACCAAATCAGGCAACTTATGTTACTTTACTGGTAAAAACGTTGACAATCATGCCTCTAACGAGTTTCAAAAATGCTGAGGGCACACAGGCAAGATAATCAGGGAGTGCCTGAAACAACAAGAATTCGGAAACATTCATTTGGAATAAAGAAGTCCAACATTGAATGCACCTCACGGACTTTTTCTATTGTTCTCGCTGTAAATTTGAAATATCCACGGCAACTGTGAAAGAATCATATTGAAATGCAAACGTGCCGCCGTGGAAATCTAGCCTGTCACATTAACCCTAGAACTACCAAAATTTCCCCTCAAGATGAAACGGATATGTGCCAGTCGAGTAGTTTATACAAATGCACATGTGTACTGTTTGCACCATTTGCCAGTGTAAACCAACCCACGTCAGAGAAACCTACAGAGCAAGACAACTCACGGATTGTTGTGGAGGGTGACTTGCAGTATTTGATGCTGTCACCAGGACCCAAGCCATAAGCAAATAAGGAATAAGTCGCCTTTGTATCGATAGATGTGATATCCAGAGTGCCAGTGATGTTGTTCGTGCAGATTGTCTTGGTTGCACCGAGTGATGAAACACCTGCCAGGTGAGTGCGGGTGTAGTTAACACACCATTTGCTTATGCTGCTGATGTTGCTCATTGAGACATTAGCACTGACTCTGGACCTGGTTATATGCGATATTGAGAGGTCAACTTGGATTAGGTCTGCAGGGCACAATGAAAAGCATGGAAATAGAGGTTTTTACGTCACACGTAGCTTGTGGAATTACTTCTATTTGGAGACTGCAATTACATGTGCTGCGTGCAAGTCCTATGAGTTTAACATGTGAACCTAACCGAGCCAATAATGCTTCTAATTCTTCTGAAATTTCCTCTTCGACGTCAATCAGAGTCCACCATCATTCAAATAACCAAAACCAACTGTAGCAACAAAATACAGCGCCTTTTTTACCAACCAGTTGGTCCTCTCCAGGGAGTAATAAAATATCGATACTGCGCTACTCCCTGGCCGTCTACACAACGAGATGGAAACGAAAATATTCTGTCAGAATCCAAACACAATTTGCTTTCCGCTAGAAATGTTCTACGGAAGACGCCCTCTGTGTGCTGACGGATAATCTGCAGAAGGCGATAGACAGTGGCAAGACCACAGGGCTGTGCCCATTAGACATGTCGAAGGCTTTTGATAAACTGCACCACGACAAGTTGATCCGAGACCTCCTTGGGTTGGAATTTCTGGAAATGCCCTCAGTTGGTTCGTTGACTGCTTATCCGCCCGCAAGCAGCAGATCCTCATCTCGCCTTCAACCAGTCCTGCTCTGGCGTGCACCTGCGGAGTGCCTGAAGGCTCTGTTCTCGACCCGGTCCTCTTCAGTATATACACACGAGATGTCTCTTTGATTTCCTCGCCTATGCCAAGTGTACAATTTGCAGATTACATAGCCCTGTACGACTCCCAGGCCTCAGCGGTGGAAGCATCCAGAACCCTCACCACAGCGGCAACTACTGTGGCCGATTGGCTGAAGTCTCGAGGACTCATGTTGAACCCCGCCAAGAGCAAGGTTCTGACTATCTCCCCCCCCCCCCCCCAGCAGCATGTACAGGAAGTGACAGTCAAAAGCGGCGACTGTCTCTGCCCCTCAGCGTCTTCTGCGCTACCTCAGCATTCACCTTGACAATCGTCTAGATTGGGACACCCATGTAAACTATGTGGTCCCTAAGGTTGCCAAGACAATTGGCGCCCTGTGGCGCGCACGTCGTAGCCTATCAAGACGCTCTCGTCAGGTGTATGTGAAGTCGGTCATAATGCCCGACCTGCATTATGGCTCCTGCTGCTTTTCAGCGGCATTGCGAGAGGGTCAACTGAAGCGACTTCAAACCGTACAAAACAGAGCCATTCGCTGTATTGATGGCAACCGGCCCCGGACAGCCATGCCACCGCTGCTCACTGCTCACTCCCTGTACTGTGTCAGCGAGCTATATAGGCAGAGAATATTGATCACCATCTGGCGGTACACCCAAGACCTCACCAGCCCTGTGCTCGCCAAGCTTCTGATCCCGGCACAAGGCATCCCCTACCCGCCATCAGCAGTCAAATGGCCTACAAAGCCTGGCAAACCGTAGTCGCTGCGGTCAGCGGAGATTTTCTGTTGCTGGTGCTCTGCTGTGGAATGCTCTTCCTGGTGGGGTCCGCACAATTACCCCGCTACCCGGTTATCATCACGTAGTATCACAAATACATGTACATCGTATTCTCTCCCCCCGTTTACTGGCAATTATTAGCATCCTAATCTCTTACTATGTGCTTCCATAGCCCTTACTATGTTCTTCCATGGCCGCTTCTAGGCTTAGCCTTCGCCATCATTTTATTGGGTCGTCATCTCGTTTGAATGTGCGAAGTAAAATAAAAACCAACCAACCAACCAATGTTTGGTCGCAATCACTGGGAAGTGGTAATCGGCAAAACGTGATGAACTCACTATTGGTGACGTAGTCAAGAACATTCTGGTCAACAGAAGTGTAACCATTCGCCCAATCAGCAGTGAGTGGCAGCACAAACAAAAAGCTGCACAAGTCCTCTGAAAGTGTGAACCGATTCTGTCTAAGTCTCCTGAGAGGAAAGAAAAAAACACAGGAAGGAACAACAAACCATGTTTGCACCCTTATCAGCCATAGCAAAAGAGAGGGGCGGGTTTGAAAGAATAGCATGCCGGAGGGTTTCACCACCGTGACTCGTAACTAATCACCTTCCAGTTCAAGCGACTTTGCAGACAAGAAGTCGTCAACCACCGTTCGCACTGCAATTGTAAATATATTTCTACGATCAGGACCAGGACAATGACAACGACAACAACCAAGACAGCGGCGACAATTTCAGCAGCATGCTGCGAGGGCCCTTCATCATTTCGTACAGCGGTTTTGCAATGGTCGCCATGCCTGGGATCCAGCGCTGAATGTGTGAAAAGGAGCCCATAGCCTTCCTGAGCATAGTAACAGTTGTAGGCTTAGGTGTGCGGAGCAACGACTGAGTCCCGGCCTCGGAGATGCGCATTGTGCCTGCTGCTATTACGTGCCCAGGGAACTCCACCTCCCGCACACCGAAACAGCATTTGTCGGGGTTCAGCAGTACACCAGCCGACCTGAGTTTCCTGAGCACCTCCCGCAACCGGCTGTTGTGCTCCGTCCAGCTTTCTGTGCCCCCATACCAGCACGTGGTCTAAGTAGCATAGCGCAGCCGTGCAATTGAGTTCACCTAGAATTGCTGACATCAGACGCTGAAAGGTCACCTTGGCTCCCGACAGGCTAAACGGGGTGCCCTGACCAGCCCATTTATACTGACCGTCCGGCGTGGCGAAGGCAGTCTTGGCCGCATATTCACGACGCATGGGCATTTTATAGTAGCCGTATTTCAAGTCAACCGTGGAGAAGAACTGCGCTTCAGTCAACTGATCCACCAAGTCGTCTATCAGAGGCAGTGGGTGATGCTGGGGATGACTGTCTGCGTTTAGCCTTCGGTAGTCCATTCATTGCCAGTCTCAGTCGGCCATTCTTGCGCCGAGCAGCCACTATTGGAGTAGCCCATGGCAAAGTAGACTCCCGGATCAGTCCACGTTGAATGAGGTACTCGACTTCGTCCCGCACCTCCTTCCGTGTATCCGGTGCCATCCTACGAGTTCTTGACCACTGTGGTGCTGTATAATTCTCGAGGTGTTTCTCATGCTGGATCCCAGTTCGTGCCGTCGGTAGCTGATCGCCTTTCGCCAAGAACACATCGCCATACCCATTGACCAGCTCCCGAATCTACTGCTCCTTGCTGTCCTGTAAGCTTTCATCCAGATTGTACCCCGTTACCTGCCGCCTCGGCTCATCACTCTTCGCCGGGTTCTGCAGCGACATATCGAATTCGGCACGTGCTATTCTCATTACCTTTCCTTAGAGCAGTACTGCTTCACTGTTCCCTGCATTCACCATGCGTACCGTGGCCCCGAATGCAGTGGGACGCAGCGCACAGCACAATGCTCTGACTGTGTTGTTTTTGCTTGCCATGGTTGGCTTGAGGAGGTATTCCGCACTGGGTGTCCGACTGCTAAATGTGCATGGGACCAATGCCTCCTCGCCCGGTATAACCTTGATCGTGTCCTGCACCATGACCTTACACACTCCTGGAGGCCGGTGTGCTTGGTCCAGAGGACGGGAGTTGCGATACACTGTTCCAATTTCAGGTGGTTTCCCTGCGTGATCAGCGTGCTGTTCGGCCAGTCCAAGGTTTGCTTTTCCAGCCGACTCAAGAAGTCTGCGCCTCCTATCATGGGTACCACCAGGTCTGGTACTACGTGAAATGGCTCGCTGGTGAAATTACGCGCACCAGATCCGGGTGGCGTCAACTGGTTAATGACATCATCGACAATGAATATGTGTTCCACTGAACAGGTCTAACTTACTTATGGCTACTTGCAATGTGCTGGTGCTGCATCAACGTGTTGCATTGTTAGTGTCTTTGGATAGTATGCATATGATCAAGTGTTTTTTCACCTATATTTTTCATTTTTGCGTATTTGGTTTTGCTTTCTTTCTCTTTTTCTCCCCTTCTCTTCTGGTATCATGTCTAACACTGGGTGTGGCAGTTGGCGAAGTCGATACCGAGGATGAAGCGAATGGCGATGAGGCTGGTGATGTCGGGTGTGATTGTGACCTGGAGTTGGATGTGAAGAAATCGGCAGTTTACGGGCATTTGGTGGGTCATCCTGATTGTTGTCATTCGTCCTCGGATTCTTCTTTCACTGTGGTGTGTTATGCGAGTCATACTCATATTATTATGCAGCTTACAGTTTTAGAGGCAATCTTCATTCACTTGTGCATGCCAGTGTTGTGTGTACAGAAGGAAAGTGTTATCACCCTCAAATTGTTTACTTAGTGTATGGTGCGAGTGTGGTGAGTATGATTGCCCCCCCCCCCCCCCCGTTCACACTTCCTTCCGTCTGTTCAGATTCTTTCTTTGTTTTGCTGATGCTGATGATTCACATTATGCATTGTTCTTACCTGCTGAGCTTGCCCCCTACCGAATAGATGTAGTATAATCACCTTTTTTGTTTCGCTCCTTTCCCTTCTTTGATTGATTGATTGATTGATTGATTTTATTTTACTTCGCAAGTTCAAACGAGTTCCTGGCCCAGTTATATGAAAGCGAAGGGTAGAATTTGCCAAAATCCTAATGAGCAACAGCATAGGCAATATTATCATAGAAGTGGAGTACTATGCGAGCGAGAATACTGAGAAGAAAGGAACATGTCAAAGCCTGACGAAACACAACCTATTTCAGGCATACATAAGGAAGGCAGGCTAGCTTAAAATCTTGCAATCTGGATACGGTGCGCACCTCTCTAGGAAAACTGTTCCACAGCAATGCTCCTGCGGTGGCGAATCTCGTTTGGCCACACCGACTGCGAGCTGGCTGGCTGAGCAGACCATTGGCATGTTGATGGCGCGTACTTCTGCCGCTGCATGCTGCTGGTTTGAGAAGCTGGGCTAGAGCAAGGCTAGTGGAGTCATTTAGACAACGCCAGATGAAGATCAGGAGCTTTTGTTTAAAAAGTTCAGTGACGCGGTAAATCGAGTTGGCAGCCAGGAGGGGCTGCATCGCGGAACATGGCGGGCTGCCATCAATGCATCGGATCGCCCGGTTTTGCATGGCTTGCAGACGCTGAAGTTGGGTCACGCGGAGGGCTGCAGAGAAGCTGCAGGCACCATATATCATATCCGGCATGACAATAGCCTTTACATATATCTTGCGCGAGCTGCGGGAGAGGCATCGATGGGCTCGCCACAAGGCGCCTATCTTCCTTGCAACTTTGGTCACTATGGCGCTGACGTGTACATCCCAACTCAGGCGGTTGTCAAGAAAGACACCAAGATACCGCGCAGACTTCTCTATAGGTAGAGAGGTATCGCAGCACACGATAGAGACCTCAGGCCCGGCATGTTGCGGTGAGATAGTCATAACCTGGCTTTTGGAGGCATTTAAAATTAGGCCCCGTGACTAAAGCCATATGGCGAGATCAGTGACAGCTGAAGAGACAGATTTGGAGACTTCCCCAGCGGAAGCTTTTGAATCATACAGAGCAATGTCGTCTGCGAATTGCACGCTGGGTATTTGCGATGAGACCGATTTCACATCACGGGTGTAGACGATAAAGAGAACAGGCCCCAAGACGGAGCCTTGGGGCACACCACAGGTGCAGTCAAGAGCACGACTTGTGGCCGAAGCGACTGTAACTTGCTGCCTGCGATCTGTCAGGTAATTCGCGAACCACTTCAGGGCGACACCAGAGATACCAACGTCAAAAAGGTCTTGGATGAGGATACCATGCCGGACTTTGTCAAAAGCCTTGGACATGTCGAGGAGGCACAGCCCTGTTACCAGACCACTGTCCTTCGCCTTCTGCAAGCTGTCCGTGAGAACACAGAGGGCATCCTCAGTGGAGCACTTCTTCCTGTCACTTTTATTTGTCCATATAAGATTAGTTTCAAGTAGTCCCCATTCCACTGTTACTTAGATTCACTGATAATTGTAACAAGTAAACAGTTCTGAACGAAACCTCGCTTTCCCTTTCGTTGTGTGCCTTGCGATAATCGAACAACATTGTACACATACATTCTTACTGTGCAATTAGTTGTCTATGTAGCTATATTAAAACTGCTGTCTCCGAAACGCTTGGTCAATTATAATAATAATAATAATAATAATAATAATAATAATAATTCAAAGGATCAGTCTGGGAAGTGAACTGCCTGAAAAGAGAAAAAAACGCCAGACCCACCAGGACTCGAACCTGGGACCCTGCTTGTCATGAGCAATGCTCTAACCACTGAGCTATGGGACCAGGCTGAACCCAGAAGGCGCCGACAAATTTTTCACTCCAAAGGCAGCTCACAACACGTGCCACACATACTGATGGCACTTGGGTCTTTTTCCCTCCCCCAGGGGACCAACCACGGTCAGTTTCTGGAAACTACCAGAGGTGAAAGAAAGTGATTAAATTTGGAAAGGATTGACTCGAACCCACCAGGTTCGAGTCCTGGTGGGTCTGGCGTTTTTTCTCTTTTCAGGCAGTTCACTTCCCAGACTGATCCTTTGAATTTGAAGTTCTCCCAATCCTTTCCAAATTTAATCACTTTCTTTCACCTCTGGTAGTTTCCAGAAACTGACCGTGGTTGGTCCCCTGGGGGAGGGAAAAAGACCCAAGTGCCATCAGTATGTGTGGCACGTGTTGTGAGCTGCCTTTGGAGTGAAAAATTTGTCGCCGCCTTCTGGGTTCAGCCTGGTCCCATAGCTCAGTGGTTAGAGCATTGCTCATGACAAGCAGGGTCCTAGGTTCGAGTCCTGGTGGGTCTGGCGTTTTTTTTCTCTTTTCAGGCAGTTCACTTCCCAGACTGATCCTTTGAATTTGAAGTTCTCCCAATCCTTTCCAAATAATAATAATAATAATAATAATAATAATAATAATAATTAAAGTCGTGAGTCAGTCAAGTGTCAAGTAAAGTCGGCGGAATAGCGCGAGCTCCGGTGTGGGGAGCAAACCTTTCTTACAAATCATCGCCGAAGTCGCAACCACTACTTCGTACTGTTGTGCCCAGCGCGGGCTTGCGACTAGTTGGTTTGGAGGTGACAGCGTTGCGAATGACCGAGGGTCCTCGACGTCTGTCTCACCGTCCAGGAGCGACACTGACTCACGCTGCTATCTGGTGTTCACGAGGTGTTTATCGCGCTGGAAGCGGAGCGTCTCTGTAAGTTTGTATCCCTGGTGATGTTTGTGCCTGGAGAGCACTATATAAGTGGTGCTCTTCAGGCACAATCTTCCTCAGCCTACTCAAGCTCAACTGATGAGGGGTGAATTCCCCGAAACACTGTGTATTGAGCAGGGAGTGGTGCTTTCTTGCAGGTTTGCCGAGTCGAAGGTTCGATGGACTTCTCGTGTGCTCTGGATGGCAGTCGTGAGTCAGTCAAGTGTCAAGTAAAGTCGGCGGAATAGCGCGAGCTCCGGTGTGGGGAGCAAACCTTTCTTAATAATAATAATAATAATAATAATAAGTCAGTCCAACTTATTGATGTCAGTGTGCCACTGGATCATAGAGTAACACTAAAACATGCTGAAAAGAGAGCGAAGTACTTGCCCCTCGCAGTGGAAATTGGGCAGATTTGGCAGCGAGAGGCAGTGTCCGTAGTGCCCATCATAGTTGGTGCTCTTGGTGGCCTGACGAAGGAAGCGGCTACCTCAATTAAGCAGCTATGTGGAGAAGAGCGGCACCTTCATGAACTGCAGCAGGCTGCTATCCTTGGCTCGATGGCCATTCTAAGATCTGTTTTGGGTGCAGCATAGGGCTCTTCGCTGTCCCTGGTGGGCTTTTTATGCTCTGTATGTTATTGTATTCGTTTTAGTTTGTAATTGAAACACTGTGGTATTTCTGTGGGTATTCGTATTTGATCTTTCTGTGAGTGCGCATTGGAAGTTGTGCCCAGTGATGA